TTTTTGCGGGGGTGGGGGGCCAATTTTTTGTCGCTACGCTACTGCAGCCATGGACCATGGTTTATGGTCGCGTCCTAGCCATTTTCAATAGTTACTATTTACTATATTTATTGTTATTATATGCTTAGTTTTGAATAATAACGGTCTTTTATAGTTACCTTTGTATTAGACGGAAACGGTAATGCAATTCTTTAAAACGTTAGTCACTTAAAGCGTCAAAAGTCATGCAAAAAAATAAATTATAAATTTTGTGGTTTAAAAGTTGAAAAACTAATAATAATATAATAAAAGGTTTGGTAATTTTTAAACGTTATTATTTAGCTCTTACTTATGGTATTTATTTTGTTTTCATTTTACATTTTTAAAAAAATGTTGAAGCACCTAACTACATGCATAACTTTGATAGCTCACAAGTTAAGTGCGCAGTCATCAGAGTCGCTGTGCAATGCTTCAAATCCGCGCCTAAAAAATCTCCATACATTTTTTTAAATTTTTTTAATCTGGCTATATTTATAGCAAAAAATTAAATATAGCGAAAAACCTTTTAATTGCTTTTTTTCCTCTGCCTCCACTGCAATACCATGTGGAGTAGCGGGACGGTTTTATCAAATTTTTTTCCTTATTAGGTTTTAGGACTTTTTTTTTAAGACTATCCGTAGCTTATTAGGACCAATTATGTGAGAACAGTATCAAAATCATGACACGCACGCAACAAATTTTCGCCCCGTTTATTGGTGTTTTTAGAAATCCAAAAAATTTATAAAATTTAAAAAGAAAAAACGGTTTAAGTGTATAACATTTAACTTGTTTAACTTTACAAATATTTTGTAATTTAAAGATTCTAAGAAAAAAATCGCTGGTGGTAAATTTGAACCACGACTATTACGTTCAGAAGCTTAGCTCGCTAACCATTCGGCCATGCTGACACATCAAATATCCGAAATTTTAAAAATATATAAAAATTGTTTTAAACGGAATTGCTGTAGATCAAAAATTAAGAAGAGGTTGACGCAATGCAATTTTTAAGTCAAAGTCAAACTATAAAACTTGAAAAATGTTTCAGTATGTTTCATCATTACTTAATTACGTACGTTAGATATTTGTATACACGTTTTCTTATAAAAAAAGTGTTGCGACTCTTTCTACTAACACTTTTAAGTTCGGCATTATTATATAGAAGATAGATAGATTATAAAATAGTTTTTCACCTAAAAGGACAAACTCTATTCCACATTAACCTTATCTCTATTTCTCCCTCTAATATTTTTTAGTGATCAATAGATTATGTGCTAGAAAAAAAAAAAAAAAAAAATCACATATGCACCTTTTCCGTATATTTATATTTAGAGCTTAACATGAAGAAGGTAAACCATTTAGTTCAAGACAACCTGCCCAAACCCAAATCCTCTGTTGATTTATGCACACTCACTGTGGCTAGGCGTGTAAAATAAGTAGCTAGGCAAGTTAAATAAATTAACTTGATCTGTTTTTCTGCATAAAACAAAAACAGAAAATGTGAAGTACTTGATAAAAGGAACTGTAATATTGGATTTAGTTAATTCAATACAAAGTGATAGGAAACTGCAAAATAAGGTAACAACGTGAAAATTATTGAAATACTAATTTACAACAATTTGTATTGCGTTTTATTAAAATAGCTTTATTAAATGGTATGAAGATTGATGATTCTTCTTCTTCGCCTTTAGAAAATAATTAACGATTTGAAAGACTTTTAAATTGATTATAAAAGCATTATCTAAAAACGAAATAAAATCATTATTGATAACACTGAATGCACATTTATTTGTTTTATGTTAATTCATTTGAAAAATAAAAAATACGAAACGAAATTTAGTAATATTAAAGAAATATTAAACACTTACTTTGTGAGAGTGCTTTTGGAAAAGTCTCTAATATTTGGTTAGAAGGCTGGAAATAATCTTTTTTTTAAAAAAATCAGTTTTATCAGCATTGCTCAAGATAAAAATTTTTATTGACACAAAAAAATTCGGCATTTTTTCTTAAAATATTTCTTGGCTTTTAGTGAATGATTAGGAGTAAGTTTCAGTAATGAAGCTACCCAATAATCATTTTTAACGATAGACACCAACGTGAAGGTAAGCCAAGCTGTCTATCAACACAAAACATCACAACAACATTACAGGATGACAAACAATAACACCAGTAGTGTAGGTGGGATTTTTGTTGTTTCAGATATATATTTAGAAGCTGTTGAAGAGTTTAACTTTGTTATGTCTAAAAAAATTCAGGTTAGGAAAAACACTTTTTTTAAACATTTGTTCCTAAGCTTTAACAGCATCAATTTTTTGCAAAGTATTTTAATTCTATAAACGTGAATACACTTAAGTTTGGTTGAAAGTGCTATATAAAGCATCAAAAGACCCTGCCTATGCTACTGAATACACATAGCATAAATTATTTTTACATAACACATTTGCACATAACACAAAATATTCAGATTATGTGTTTCCAGAATAATTAAAAAAGCTAGACAACACAACCTAGCTCAACACTTGTAACACCGCTTGGCACTAAACGCTGCCAAGTAACACCACAATTTAGTAACACCGCTTGGCATTAAGTGCCAAGTAACACCACTAATTAGTAACACCGCTTGGCTAGCAACACCACTAATTAGTAGCACCGCTTCTACCAGTGGTGTCATATGGGGCTTGTCTCCTCCATCTAAAGGAGGGATCATCTCCCCTATATTGACACCACCGGTAGAAAGCTCTTTGAGATATCGGACCTGGGTGCTGGGAGCAATATCGCAGGAAATCTTGATGCGCTGCTAAAAAACAAAAACAAAAAAAGAAATAAATTTGAATACAATACTGCACAAAACAACCAATAAAAATATTATTTAAAACTATTTAGACTTTAAAAAAAAAAAGTTATGACAAAAAAAAATAAAAAAAAAAGTAATGTAAAAATAAGGATAAATTAAATTTCATATATACCTACACAAATACACATAACACCCATAAAACTGCATAAGCATGCAAAACAGATTACCTGATGGTCCTGCAGATATTGTTGCTATTATAGAAATAAATAAAAAATATGAACTAACACATATATTAAACAGTTATGTAATTGCATACAAACATGAAAAAAGTAATGTTTAGGTTTCAATACACATAACACTGCATAAGTATGGAAAAACTGCATAAGTATGGAAAACACATTACCTGGTGGTACTGCAGTTGATACTGTTGCTATTACGGAAATAAATAAAAAAGTATATAAACAAACACATATTAAACAGTTATGTAATTGCATACAAACACGAAAAAAGTATTGTTTAAGTTCCAATACACATAACACTCATAAAACTGCATAAGTATGCAAAACATATTACCTGATGGTACTGCAGATGATATTGATGCTATTGTGAAAGTAAAAAAAAAAAGTGTATAAAGTAACATATGTTATACATTTATGTAATTGATAACAAACATGAAAAAAGTAATGTTTAAGTTTTATTACACATAAAACCCATAAAACTGCATAAGTATGCTAAACAGATTACCTGATATTATTGCTTGAGGTGTTAATGTAGAGACAAAAAAAAATAAAGTGATGTGCAAAATAAGATATGCAATCTTTAAGTTTTAATACACATAACACTCATAAAACTGCATAAGTATGCAAAACATAATACCTGATGGTACTGCAGATGATATTGATGCTATTGTAAAGGTAAAAAAAAAAATGTATAAAGTAACATATGTTGTACATTTATGTAATTGATAACAAACATGAAAAAAGTAATGTTTAAGTTTTAATACACATAACACTCATAAAACTGCATAAGTATGCAAAACACATTACCTGATGGCACTGCAGATGATATTGATGCTATTGTAAAAGTAAAAAAAAAAGTGTATAAAGTAACATGTGTTAAACATTTATGTAATTGCATGAAAACATGAAAAAAAAAAAATTTAAGTTTTAATACACATAAAACCCATAAAACTGCATAAGTATGCTAAACAGATTACCTGATATTATTGCTTGAGGTGTTAATGTAGAGACAAAAAAAAAAAATAAAGTAATCTGTAAATTAAGATATGCTATCTTTAAGTTTTAACACACATAACACTCTTAAAACTGCATAAGAATGCAAAACACATTACCAGATGGTACTGCAGATGACGCTATAGTGGATGTAAAAAATATATTTACATAAACTAACATATACTAATCAATTAAACAGTTTATTTTAAGTGATAAAACCGCACACAAACATCAAAAAAAGTGTAATAAAATTAAACAAAATGAAACATAAGTGAACTTTGCTTACCAATTGAATTTTCTAATTTTTCTAAATAGAATAAAAAAAAACTCATTAACATTAAGAAAGAAACTAACATGCAGAATATTATAATATACATATAATATACGAAGCAAAACAAACCAAAAAAAAAAAAAAGAAAAAAGTTCCAAAAAAAAAAGAAAAAATTAAAATAAATAAGAACATTATAGTAATTTACTTAGCTGTTGAAGTATAAGCCCTATAAAAAAAATGCTAAAAATTGTATCAAAAAAGCTAAAAGACCAAAGAGTAGACCTTTTTTTTTTTGAAAGTAAAATGCTATATCTTTATCTATAATACACAAATGAAATATAATCAAATTCTGTTTACCCATTGAATGTTCTACTTTTTCTAAATAAAATGAAAAACTTATAAACATTAAAATAAACTAACTTGCCATATATAGAATAACTTTATGTTAAATAAATATGTAATAAAAAAAATAAAAAGCATGACAACAACAATAACAAATTGCTTACATAGATTCTCAACTGAATCTTCTAATTTTTCTAAATAAAATAAATTTGAAAGTTACAAAAGTCACTTGCTGACTGACAAACTGTCACAACTGACAAAAGTCAGTTGCTAAATAACTTTAAAAAAACTAAAAAAGCATAACTATATTTGCACACACAAAAAAAAAACAACAACAACAAAAAAATTCCTGACTTAGCTTGTCCATTACTTCCGCTAAACATTAAAAAAAAGTTATAATTAACAAATTGCTGAAATTGGTGAAATATATATCTTTGTAACATATCCTTCTCATACAAAGTTAGCTTACTTGGCAAGAGCTCTTCGGCTCTGATCTCTTGAACATCTAATATATATATAGACATAATTAATTTTTAAAATATTCACTTTTTCAATTAAACATATAAGATTTGTCTTAAATTATAAAACTGTTGCACAGTTTTATAATTTAACACATTCAGTAAATGACAAAAAGTTTCATTTTACGTGAAAGTTTAGTAGTTAAAAGACTTAAAAGTCTATTTTAGCTTAAACACGTTTTATAAAATTATAGCTTAAACACCTTAAAGCTTCTATGTGTTTTTAAGGTTTACTGCTTTACAAAAACATCAATCAAAATAGCGGAATAAACAAAAACTGAGTTTTGGGTCCACCCTCTTAAAGTTCTAAAAATTAATTTATATATTTTTTAACTTTAGTTAAATTTTAGGGTGGTGTGCTTGATTCACGGGGTTAGGGGAGGGCAGCATATCTTGGTTGATTTCAATTAAAAGCGGCTAAAATAAATCATCGTTTTATTCACACGTGAATCAAGTACAGCTTTTTTATGTTTTTAGAAATTTTAAAAAACGTTTTAAAAAATTCTCTCCGTTTGGTTCGTTATAGTATATTATATCTTTATTTTTATGTAATGCGTATAACATCTATATGCATTTAAACTTGTTTTTCTTTGTTTTCTAGAAAACAGGATAAGATTTAAAAAAAAAATTGTGTATGCAAAAGGTTTTGAACCCAAGCGAAGCACTTCAATCGCTTTGGAATGCTATATCATCTTTTTACACTATTTAATAAACAGAAAACTTATTAAACTTTAAAAAACAACATTTAATGCTTTAAAATAAAGAGATATTGTCGCAATGAAATTTTTAAGTAAAAATAAATCGGTAGAATTTGATGTCATCTACTTCATAATAATACTGATTGATAATTAAAGAACTTAAAGTTTACATATTTAGATAATTGAATAGACTTTCGTTCACATTGTTAAAAAACAAATCATAACGGATTGTGGTTCCGAAAAAAAAGGTTAATACACTACCATCTGTAATTATTGGAAAGGTCATATTTTTTAATATCAAATATATCAAAGTTTGGCGAAAAAGTGAAAACAATGTCTACCTGAATTATATGTTATCTTCCTATTTATTAGGTTTACAAATAAAACTTCCCTGATTAGTTTATAATTTATTCAAAACCCTGATTAGCTTTTAATTTATTTGCATATTAATCACCCTTAACAACAATAACCACCATAAATATATTCTTAGCATTCTACTTAACGACTTATCTAATTAGTCTATTTTGTCACTAAGTTTTTTCAAAAAAAAAAAATACACATGTATTAACTGTATATCAATTTATTTATCTATTTAATTTAATATATATATATAATATATAATTTAATATATATAATTTAATCTAATTAATATAATTGAAATACTACTAATCAATTTACTGATATTTTTTCTATAGCATTGTTAAAAATGGTTATATTCTGAAAGGTAAAGAAATTTATTGAAAAGAAAGTTGCACAAAAGAAAAAAAAAAACTAAATAAAAGTTACTTGTTTCAAAAAACGTTTTACGAAGAGTTTTTCCAAACAATTTTATTTTTAATTGCGTTTTTTTTTTAATTACGTCATAAGCATATTAAGGCGTTTTGAAAAACAGTTGCTGTATATATTTATAGTAAAAAAGTTAATGTAGCAAAATAAACTTTTAATTGCCAAAAGAAAGTTTTAAAGTTTTATCTAGCTACAGGCTTTTTTTTTTTTTTTTGCCTCCACAGCAGCATCTTCTGAAGTAGCAGGGCTGTCTTGTTAAGTTTTTTCTTTATTAAGTTTCAGACAACTTTTTTTTCAGACCATCCGCAGCTTATTAGGACTAATTACATGAGCACATTAATAACATAAGTGTCTCAATTATCATAGATACGCAACATATTTTTTCTCCTAGTGATGTTTTTTTTTTTTTTTTAAATGTTTTATGAAGTTTTAGCTTTCTTAAAATCTTTTCTTTTGTGAGTGCATAACATCGTTACATATGTTTGTATATAATCTTTATAAAACTTCGAAAGTATTTTGTATTTTAAAATAATTAAAAAAATTAAAAAAAATAGCCGCCATTGGTAGGAGTCGAACCTCTAGCTCCTTGTTCAGAAGTTCGCCGCCTTATCCACTCGAGCTACACCGGCATATCATTATGTGTAGATTTTATAATAATGTAGTAATTTTTTTAAGGAAAAAATTGTTAGATCAAAATTAAGGAGAGGTTGACACAATGTAATTTTCAAGTAAAAATCAAACTGTAAAACATAATAAATGTTTCAGTATGTTTTAACATTTGCTTTAACCTTACTTAGTTTAAAGTTTACGTACGTTAGATATTCGTTCACGTATTCTTATAGTGCTGCGACTCTTTCTTGCCAATACCTCGGTTGCAATGGCTGCCAAGGGTTTCGTGTCAAATACGCTCCAAGGGACACTACTATTAAGTTTGGCAATATTATATAGAAGATTGTTTGTTTTGAGAAATTGCCTTAATAAATATTCTTGCTCTTGCAAGATAATAAATAAAAATTTGATTAAATTTATTTTATGATTTCTTTTTTTACTGGCCTATAACATCTTTTTTCTTTACATTTTTGATGGAAAAGTTGAGTTAATAAAAATAGAATTTTCTTTGTTTTTTCTTAAGTTATTACATTGTAAATAGCGCAAATATCTAATGTAATTATCATGCAAACTTTTTTTTATAATTGTCATTCAAACTTCATAAGTGGTTTTTATATACTTTATTTATCTTATAACATATTTAAATAATAAAAAATAATAAAATTGGCTTACGTAAATTGGCTTACTGCTTATGTAAAATGGCACATAAATGGCATGCCAGTTTATGCTTTAAAACAAAGCCTAAAATCATTTCTTTCTAACTTTTGAAATCATTTCTAACTTTTTAACCACAGTATTAAAGTCATTCTCGAAGGCTTACAATCTTCAATACCAGTAACTTGAGGGGTATTGCAATGTTCTATCTTTGCTCCTGTATTGCTTTTTATCTACAATAACAATATTCCCGACAATCTAGCATCTAAAGTATTTACTGACAACTTTATACTCCTATCTTGATGAAATTTTTTGATTACTTAGATCAAGCAGCCAATCTTTAATCTAATCTCTCTTCTGTAACAGTTTGAGGCTTGCAGTGGCTTGTGGGCTTTAATTCTAACAAAACTCATTTACTGCAAACAACTCACAATACTGCTGATGTTCCTATATTGACAAGTAGCAACCCTATCAATCTCAAACAAGGTGCAAAAACATGTTTTAAATGTAGTTAGACCTGCTTTATCTGCCAAGCTTGAGCCAATCTCCAATCATCTTAAGGTTGAATTTCTTTTTTTTTTGTCTACAAATGCTATCATGGTTGCAGCTCAAATCAGCTATCAAACCAATGATGATTGATCTACCAGAACTCATTCTTGCTTACATTGTCATTTAGCAAAGTCCCATCTCTTTACTGTATCTGCCCTTTTATGCTATAAAATTTTTTATTCATCTAGTTTTTTTCCTCGCACATCAACTAAACCTCAAAACTTTATGTCACAATTACAATCTTCATGTTTTCCTTAATCATACAACATATGACTTTTTTAGTTTTCAGTTTACCATTACCTTGTTGAATATAAGGAAGTGAATTAGTTTATCAAATAAATTTCAGTATTTAGTTCTAGTTTTTATCAAGTTGAGTAAATAAATTTAGTTTTAGATTTTATTTATTTTAATTTTCGTTTGTCATAAAAAATTTTTATCTCATGTAATTTTAATGTAATATAATTTATAAATAATATAGGCATATATAATTAAAAGTAGGACTTGGTGTTATTAGCGAACATGAAAATGAAAAAACTTGATTAAATGTGGCAAGGTGTTTAAAGCACCACCCCCCCCCCATCCCCCAAAAAAAAACACACACAACAATCTGTCATTAGGGATCCAAAATTATAAAAATTTAAGTTTAAGATAATTAAGTTAAACTCAAACATTAACTTTAATTTTATTAAACTTAATTTTTTTTTTTAATTTAGAATTTATATTTTATATTTATTTAGAAATTATATACATTTTAAATCAAAATTAAGTTATATATATATTTTTTATCAGAATTAAATGATTTATTTATTATGAACATGAAGCTTGAAGTATTAGTGTTTTTCAAGTGTAAAAATCAATCATTACAATTAAATAAAAACAAAATAAAATAAAGATAAAATAAAATAAAATTTTAATAATATTAAATAGAATTTTAATAATATTAAATAGAAGTTTAAGTAATTTTTTTAATTGTTCAAACTTTTGCAACAAACTTTTTTACATAATTGTCATTAAAATGTTAAAGCGTTTTAAACTAATTTACTTCCAACGTGGTTGCAAGCAATCACTATTAAGTTTGAAGTTTTGTTGTTGTGCAAGGGTATAAACTAGATAACTAAAAACTTCCAACATGCTTTGCATTTAGCCTCTCTCTCCTCCCCACATTTTCTAAACAGTTTTAAAAAACTTTTATGATAGCAACAGCAGAATCATCATTTTCCCGTCTGCAATGACTCAATCACAATTAAACATCACCATTGAAAAGTATATCCATAAAACTGTTTAAGATACTATCGCATACTAACCATTTTTTAAATGAATGTGTGCTTTTTCCTTTTTAACATATGTTTTCAGCCCCCCCCCTAACTTTTGCGACCTTCCTACTCCTCTGTATATATCCATATATATATATATATATATATATATATATATATATATATATATATATATATATATATATATATATATATATATATATATATATATATATATATATATATATATATATGTATATGTATATATATATATATATATATATATATATATATATATATATATATATATATATATATATATATATATATATATATATACATAGACACACACACACACACACACACACACACACACACACACACACACACACACACACACACACACACACATACACATACACATACACATACACACACATATATATACACACGCGATTATATTATTTTAGAAAACGTGAACATGGCCGTTTGCAAGTTTTATAATAATGCTGAAAAAGTTTCAAAAACAAAAAAAACAAAACTAACAAAATAAAAAGAGATTGAAATAGAAAAAAATAAAAACAAATTAGTAATTTAAATCATTTGTGTACTGTTTTTATTTTTTTTTCTTTAGAGTTACATTCAGCAACAAAATTAGATAAGGCAAAACAAAAAAAAAACAGTTAGAAGTTTACAATAAAAAGAATGATTTTCCTTTTCTTAATTTTTTTTTAAGAGGATAGCAAAAATACAAATTGCAATGTGTTTGTAAAATTTATTTATATAATTTTAATTTAACAACAAGGGTTGAATTAAGCAAATGCAAAATGCAAAATCTGGAAAAGTATCTAATATTCAAAATTTTAGTTTACAAAACCGTGTTCCTTGTTTTTAAGGGGAGAATCAACTTAAATTTGTTAGCGAAAAAATAAAAAAATAAAGTTACAATTACAAAAGTAAGAACACTAGTAAGCAACATTAGTATTCCCAAATTTTAATTGAAGTAGAAAAATATCTAGAAGAATAAAGTGGATGTTTAAATAATATTAAAACTAAAGTAACTTATAAAAAGGTGACAAACAACTTTATGAAAAGTATCGTATTAAAAGTTTAGCATTATGAAAAACGTTACTAATGGACGGTAAAGACGCGTGTTAATTTTAAAATTAACCAATAAAAATTTTTTATTGTTTGATTTTAAAATTAATGCACGTTTTTACGTAACATTTTTCATAATGCTATACTTTTCATAAAGTACTTTTTTATAATGTTGTTTAAGTGATATGTGAAAGTTCCTGAAACTTTTAATAATATTTGAATATCCGCTTTATTTTTTCTAGATGCTTTTCTACTTTAATAAATGCTTGGAATTAATAATATTGTTTGAACAAAGAATGAACTTTAAAAGTAATAAGTGCTTTATAAATGTAATAATACTATTATAGTTTTATTACTTTTATAATGCAGTTAGTAACTAAAGTGTTATTACTTTTGTAGTCGTAAGTTTATTTTTTTGTTTTTTGTAACTTTCTTGCTAGCAAACTTTTAATAATTTGCTCCTTATAAATAAAGTACACAGCTTTGCATGAACTAAAATTTTAAAGACCTAATATTTTACCAGAGTTTGCAAATCGCGATCGTATAATTTAACTCTTGATATAAACTTGTTATATTATAATTATACAAATATATTTTACACACAGATGACGATACATATTTTCTCTTTCCTCTTTAAAAGAAAAAACACATAAAATATGGGAAAGTCATCCTTTTTAATGCCTAAAACCATTTTTTTTTTTTTTTTGCTATGACCTCATGAATTTTGCCGATAATAATAACCACTAAGAAAAAAAAAATAAAAACAACACACAAATTATTTAAACTATTACTATTGTTTTCTATTTAAGTTTACTTTAATTTCTTAGGTAGTTATTAAATTTAAAACATTTTTTCAGTAACACATACAATATAACTTGCGCAAACGGCCGTGATCACGCTCTCTAACTTGAAAAATGTTTATGTGGTCATACGAGACGAAAAACTGCACACCTTTCCTGGGAAGGCTTGCATGGTCCTAGTTTAGGTGACTCTCCACTTTGCAGCATTTATAGGGCTGATCTGAAGGTTCTGATCACAAGATTGTTGCCCATCAATTAATCTCATTTGAATTATATCATCTTTCTAATTTTTGACCATCTTTACTTAATATTTTAAAGTTACAAAGGGGTGAAGTTTTGCATAATCTTTATGCATAAGATACAATGTTTTCATTGCTTTGTTGTTTTAATGCTAAAAATTAAACTCTTTCAGCAATGATTATTTGTTTTTGAGGTCTCAAATGGCACATAACAACAGTTTTAATCTTCTCAATCATCATATTTTCTAATTTGTCTAGATATACCATAAAAAAAGTCCTTTTTATTGCTTTAATACTTGCTATTGACAGAAATGAATTTATATTGTAAATAAAGTTATATCCTGACTACTGTTTACTTAAACTGATAATTTATTTATCATGCAATAGCTGAAAATCTAATCCAAGATTCTGCAATTTCTGGATTATCAAAAAAACTTTCATGATTCTGAATATTGCTAATGTTCAGAATCATGAAAGTTTTTTTAATTGGGAACTAGTTTTGGTCAGTTGTGCATATTATTTAAGTTCAATCATCATTGAGTTCAATTTTGTGTTATAGTTTTAATTAAGTTCTTTTTCTTTTCTTTCTTGTTAAGATTTCATTTTTTTTTTCTAAAGTTATAAAGTTTTTACTTAGTTTAGTTTAGAAATGTTTAAGCAGCACATTTTTCAAATAATAAAATTCTAAAAATATGTTAATAGCCTTGTTCAAATTGTCAATACAATATTATTATTTGCGTGTTCATATAATGGCATGTGATTGCATGTTTTCCTGATCAAGCCTTGAAAAAGAAATATGAAAAAAATTAGAAATTTTTTTCTTCAATTTATTTATGCTTAGGTTGTTAAAAATGTTCATAAAACTAAAGCCAGTGAATAATTAAATATTTATAATGCTTGGTTACAGTTCATTGTGATCAAGCACCAAAATGCAGTAGTTGCCAAATGGGCTATTTTAAGATGGTAGAGACAGTCTGAAAGATGATGCTCAGCAGATGATCAGGGCACCCCAAAACTACATATAGAGCTAAGAACATCAAAGGCGCGCACGCCATTGTTAAAAAAAACTTTCATGCGACACTTGATACAATTGACGTCCTGACTACAACTAGTTATTTTAAAATGAAATCATTCACAGTGCTCTTAAAAAAAGTTAACTAGCTTGAAGTTGACACAATCAGCTAACGCTAATTGGGTCAGTGAAGGTGTAAGTTAATAGAAATATAGTGAAATGCGACAGGTTTAAGCATGTTCTACATCTTATATAAAACAATAGGTGTTGTTCGTTTGGTTTATGTTAAAAAGGCCACACTATTACTAGTCAATAATGTGTGAAAAATTGTTTGAAACTTGTTATATAGGAAATAAATTAAGTTTAAAAAAATTATTTTTGTTTTCATAATGACTAAAGTATTTTATTTGAATGGAAAAATTAAATAAGAATATAGTTTATTTATTGGTATATAAAAACTTAACTTTTTAGATTGATGACGAAGAGAATGCTTTTGAAGAAGAAAGTCAGGAAGAATTGCAAAATCTTTCAGATGTAAAGCTGAGCAGCTCAAGTGATGTAAGAATGATTAAAAAAACATAATTAGTTTACTATTTGTTATTGTTTAACTTAAAGAGGTGTATAGTTATATGTTTTATTTCATTATATTTATTTATTTTATTTTTTAAATCCATTTAACTTATTTTTTTAAACTCTTATTTAAATAATTATTTAGTTTCATACATAAAAACAAATATTTTACTTAAACTTATAAAAAAAAAAGTTATTGTTATAAAATACATTCTTTTGCAACATGGATGCAAAAATTTATCTCTTTTAATTTTGCTTTAAACCATTTATTTTGCTCTTTTTTCTATTTAATTTTATTTAAAAATTTTTTTAAAACCTTAAGTTATTTTTATAGATAAAAATTAGTTTTAAAGGACAACTAGAGGCGTGTATGATTTTTCTCGTGACTAAAAGTTACCATGTTACCATGTAATCATAGATCTTTAAGAAGATTCTTGAGATTTACAGCCTAGTAGTTCTAAATTCTAATTCTATATATTAAGGTTTTTTTACTTTTTGGCTTTGATTTGTTGTTCTTTACTTATCATAAACTTTGCATTATTTTACTTTAACTTTACATTAATCTGTGTAGATTACTATGAACTTAAGTGCTTTTGACAAAATAACTGACCATGTTGCTAAAAAAGGTGAACCTGCTATATTCATCAATATAAAAATTAAAACAAAAATAGCAGAACTTAAAAGTCAAACACACTCAAATCATGAGTCAAGAATCATGATCATATTTTAACTGTTTTGAATTTGTTTATAATATCAAATATAATTTACAGGTTTATCAATATTATTTTTTTAAATTTACATTTACAGGTTTCTCTTCCACGATCCTGTTCTACTGGTTCACTTTCATTTGAAATTTCTCCACGTCCAGAATCACTAAAAACATTTACACTACCTCAAAATTGGAAAAAATGCCAAGATGATGCTGGTCGTTCATTTTATTATAACAAGGAAAAAAATGAAAAAACTTGGAAACCTCCCCGAAGCAATCAGTCTAGCACTGTAAATAGTTTATATAATTATAGAAAACATTTTTTAATAGTAACAATATTAAAATATTTACGCAATTTTTTCTATTTATTTGTTTTAAGGTATTATAAAACTATATTTATGCTGAAAATTTTTGAAACATTTTAATTAGTTTTTTTTCAGCAATTCAAAACCCTAATTCAAAACTATTAACTTGTAAACTAACAAGTAAAATAACTGTTTTTACAGCTTTTTAAAAAATAATTTAATCACATAAACATAATCTAAAAAACAATATAAAATATAAAATACATATGCAATTATTTCTATGCAATTGTTTTGAGGTACTATAAAACTATTTCATATTGAAAGTTTTCTCAACAAATTTTATCTTTGATTACTTTTTGTCTTTTTATCAATGCATTTACTTTTCATTTTTCTGAAAATTTTGCTTATGGTTTTTTGCACACATAAAAAAGCAAACTTATGAAGACAATAGATTAACGGTTACACACAAAAAAAGTCCCTGTTAATCTTTTTATTTTGTGTAGTTCTATTTTAGTGTTAGTATATTTTTTAAAATAAAATTACACCCTCTATCCTGGATCTAAACTTCAAACAAATGTTTATAGCGTAGGTGTCTGACATTTCATTCCATGCCTTGTCATCAGATTTCTTCAGAACGTCTAGAGAATTAAGGTTTGTTTAGCTAATTGGCCAGATCTCTTTTGACTGGAAATTCATGTTCTTGGACAACTATTTCTGCACTGCATTTTCTGTGTGACACGGAGCTTCATCTTGAACATAGGAAACATTCGACAAGTCTGGGAAGTTTGTTTGGATCCTGATTTTAGGTTTCAGAATTTTTTCCAAGTGCTTTTTTGTCCCCATTTTAAACCCTTTTTTAAAAAAGACAGGTAGCATTTTAAGTTCATTAGATACAAAAAGACCAAACATAATTTGAGAAAGATGTTTTATTTTAGAAATATTTCTGACGTGCTTAGAAACATCGTCCATGACTTTCTTATCTACCTGTCATTTCTGCTACTTTTAGCTTGATCTACTGTGAAATATTTTTCATCTGTGATGAAAAGAACAAGCATCATTTTTTTCGACTTCCATAAATTTTATTTGAGTATTTAAGTGTCAGACTTCTTAGTTGATCACTTAAAAAAAATCTATGTGTTCAGCCCTATGATCTTGCACCAATAGTGTTTTTAACAATTTTGTAACTGTAAAATCTCTTACATTTAGCTCTTTGGACATTTTCTTGTGGACTTGATTGGGTTCCTTTTAAGTGGGTTTTTTTTATTTTTTTGATCAGTTTTTTTGTTGTAACTGTTTTCTTCCAGATTTTGGTTTTCTTTTAATTTAAATATATTGGAAATTATAACTGTTTTATAATTTCCAATCTTTCTAAACCTGCTTGTAGAGCTGTCTCAACCTCTTCTCTTCTAGCCTCTATGGGAAATGTTATCTTCATTTTAGAAAATGTGAAACAAAGCACTGAAAGTTTACCTTTTTTAGCAAAAAAAAAAGGATTAACTAGTTAAAATTTGCCAAACCTATGTTTGATTAATGTTGCCTAAAATTTTAACTTATCTTTGAAGCCAATATTTTATCTTCTAGCTTACTGATATCATAAGTGAAAAGCTTATCATCAGTGAATATCATCATAATCATCAGTGAAGCCTAAGTTAAAGGCTCTAATTTTTAGTTTTTTAAAGAAATACTTTGTATTAATGAAAATAAAATTAGCCAAACACTTTTTGATGTAGGTGTCCTTGTGTCATGTTTAGATAATCCTTCATCTCCATTTTTGCTGAGTGAGACATTTCATCTTCATTTCATCTAGTATTTTTTGGTCTAAGATTTCTTAAGCATCTTACTCTGTAGAGTGGTACCACAGTTGGCTAGACAATTTGTTAATTGCTGTGATATCAATTATCCTGTTTTGATACTTTACCTGAAGTCAAAACCCAGCAGGTTCTCTGTGCACCCCTGCTCTTTATTTTATAAGTGTTTAAACTGACTATGAAATATCCAAATCTGCTATTTATGAAATATCCAAGTCTAAATAACTTCAAACACTCATCTTGTTTTGTACAATGCTTTAGAGACCAGAAATGGGTTGCAAGTAAACATCAAGCAAAAAAATTATAATACAAAAAAATTTAAATAATAAAAAAAAATAAAAAAATAAGCAAACGTGCTGACAATAATAGTAGTAATAACGTAAAGAAAATTAAAAGAATATTTTAATAGTAAGGATAGTAAGGTCTAAAAGTTAGAATAAAATATTTTTTTGAAAAAAAATATTCTTTGATACAAAGAGATTCTTTGTGATATTCAAATTATTAGTATTTCTTCTATTAGTCTCTGCTTCATTATTTGTATTTGTCTAAAACCAGGACTTGTCAATGGCTGTGTCAATGGCTGTGTCAATTATTAATTATAATATATCAATTATAATAATGTCAATTTTTTTTTTATCCAGTATTAGGTTGTGTTAAATGATTCAAATCTCTAATCATTTAGCACTCTTTTTCCAAATGTTGCTCATTAACTCAAATCTAATATATCTAATATTTTTGTCTTTAGTTAACTATCAAAAAAATCTTAATTATCCAAATTTATATAGTTTATTATTATGTCCAACAAATATTACTGAAATTTCATATTTAAATTGAATCCAAAGAAATTATTAGGTCCAATCAGCATTAAACACCCTTAAACATTCTTATAAATTTTAACTATGAATTTTCTAATATTTTTTCTAATCTATTTAAAACCTCATTCATAAATAGCTCTAAACTTATTTTTATAACTATAGACCTATTTCTCTTTTAGTATTAGTAAGCTTCTTGAAAAGCTTATTTATTCTTTTTGTATATAGTGTATTCTTTTCTAAACTTGTTTAATTTTTTTAATCGTTTTCAATTTTAAGTATTAATGGTTTTAATTTTAGTAATAAATCAGTTTTGTGTGGTGTTTCTTAAAGTTCTGTACTTAGTCCTCTTTTGTTTTTAATCTAACCACCCTGTTCACTTATTGTCAGTTCATCTGATGATACAAATCTCATTTTGCTGATGATACAAATCTCTTACATATCAACAGTTTGTATCATTCTTTTTGTAAAATGTAAATTCGGATCTAAAAGATAAAGTTAACTGGTTAAATAATGTCTTAACACCAAAAAAACTTAACTCTTTTTTTTTTATCTTGGAGAAAAAATTTCTTTAAGATGTGTTGAAATTAAAATCAAAATTAATAATAAACTGCTATATCCTTTGAGATTTTTTAAATATTTTGGTGTCTTAATTGACTGCAATTTTTCATGAAACTTTCACATTGATAAAATAAGCAAGGAATCTCAAGCTAATGATATGCTTTTAATAATTCATATTAATAAAGTTACACTTAAGAATATTTACTATGCATTATTCTCATCTCATCTATGCTATTCTTGTCAATTCTGAAGTCAAGCTGGAAACTATCCATCCACAATATTATCTTATCTCTTGCAAAGTTCACCAGACTAACTTGCTCTTTGTGAGACTAATTTGAGTTTAGCTGTCTCATCTTGTGATCTTGGTGTTGATGGTTATCTTCCTTTAATTCCTTAAGACTCCAATTGTCACATGCTTGGCCTGGGCAATTATATTTGTAAGAATTCACCCATTTGTCGGGAAACTAGGTTTGAATCCACAGACTATCCTTTTATGTGCTTTCAATTAGCACCACTTCACTCTATCGCCTTTTTCTTTGTTCTATATCGCTCTCCTTCATCTCAAGACTGCACGCTTTTTGATATTGTTTCTGATGAAATTGGCCAAGCCCTCTCTCTTTATCCATCAGCCAGTATTGTTGTTGTTGGTAACTTTAATGCTTATCATACTAAATAGCCTGGCTATGAGTGTCAGTGACTCAGCAGATGTTAAGGTCCACAATTTTTGCCTTTCTCAATCTCTAACTCAAGTAGTCAACTTTCTAACTTGCTTTCCAGACAACCCAAATCGTTTACCTTCTCTACTCGACTTACGTCTTGTTTCTGATTCTAGTCAGTTTCTCCACATTCACCCTTAGGTGCTTCTGATCACAGTTTGATCTCTCTAAAACTATTATCTCATTCTTCTTCATCATCAGAATCCCCCTATCATTGTACCTCTTACAACTAGCTTAAAGCTGACTGGGACTCTTTACGTGATTTTCTTCAAGATCGCTCTTGGGTAGAAATTTTGTCTTCCTGCTGACAAATGTGCTTCTTACATAACTTCTTGGATTCAGGCTGGCATGGAATCTTTTATTCCCTCTCAATGGTTTCAGGTCAACCCTCACTCTTCTCCATGGTTTTCCTCACATTGTGCTGCTGCAATTTCCAATCGAAATCATTACTTCTATATCTATTAGCAAAATAATTCTTCAGAAAGCAGATGTCTGTTTAATATTGCTTGAAACCATTGTAAAAAGGTTTTGTCTAACGCCAAAGCTTGCCAATCTTAGGTCATGAAATCGCGTATTGTATCACAAAAGTTAGACTCTCGTGACGACTGTAGAATCATTAACAGTATCAATATTAAGGGCAAATAATTCCAAAATGTAATTCCACCTCTCTTGTATTGTTCAGACTTTGTCACCTCACCTAAAGACGAAGCCTAATTGTTTTCTAAGAACTTTTCATCAATATCATCTCTTGATTCCACTAGTTGCGTTCTACCTGATATAGCCGTCAAACAGGTTGATCCATTGCTTGTCTTTCATATCACTCCAGCATCTGTATCAAAAGTGATTTCCTAATTAGACTCTTTTACAGCTTATGAACCGGACAACTAAACTTTCAAAACTATTTAACAAGTGCTTATCAGAGTCTTGTTTTCAAGCCTGCTGGAAAGTGACATCTGTTATCCCTATTTTTAAAAATTTTGGAGAGCGATTTGATTGGTCTAACTACTGTCCTATTAGTCTTCTTCCTATCATAAGCAAGGTTTTTGAATCTTTAATTTATAAACACTTGACCTCACGCCTTGAATCTA